ATTAGCCGCTTATATTTGTAATACTTTATTTTATTTTGTGTCTAGTATTACATTTTCCACTTTTATGTTTATTAAATTACAATAATTTTGCGGATTTTATATTTTGTATTATTAATTCGTTTTTATTATTGTTTATTGTGTGTGTATTATTTCAATTGTGAAATTATTATTACAGTGTTCATTTGACAAAAACCTGAACCAAACGTAATGAGGAAGATCTCTTAAATTAATATATTTTTTGCTCAGTTTGGTCGTCTACAATTTTTTTCAAAGATTTTTATTCTTGTGATTACTATTCACGTTCTCAACATTCTTATATTCATGATCAATTTTTAATTTTTTTAATTACCGATATTTTTTTGTCTGTTTGTAACATTTAAGAAAACGATAAACTCGCGACAAACTGACATATAATTATACCAACAAAGGTACTGTTTAATGATATCCAGTCATATGCCAAACATGGCTTAGAATAAAACACCAAGTATCGGCTAATCATTGATTACTATATATTGGACCAAGCATTGGCACTATTGTAAAGACTGACATTCCTACATGGATACTTAGACTCAACATAAAATAATATACATTTGAGAGAACTTGAACAGACCATTTCATATTTACTTTTCGTGATCTTTTTGCTTTTGACTATAATATTCTCGGAGCTTTAGACGATTATATGTCTTTTTCTATTTGTTCATTTTGAGGATCAACTAATGCAAATGCGTTCTCACTTACACATCGAATTATTTTAAAGGGGCCTTCAAATAAAAACTTTTCGACAGCCATCCAAAGCATTTGAGAGATGTTTTATTCTTACAAGGACTAAGTCTCCGATTAATAATTCGACCTTTGATTTACCTCTTTGTTCTTATTTCTTTCGATATTTAAATTCTTTCTTAAATTTTCTTTAGACAATGTGATTAGGTATTTATGCGAAGGTTTCTTACTATTAGAAAATTGGACGATCTTTTGGATTTCATCATGAACAGACTTGCCATATTGCAATTCATAAGGGACTATTTCCGTACTTTGGTAAATTGTTACGTTTAATATTTTTCTTCAATTTTTAGTACAAAATTAACCCATTTTATGTGTTTTTCCGCACACAAAGTTCTAAATAATCGACTCAACTCTCGCATCACTCGCACAGTAGGATTTGACTGAGGATCTCTAATGTGTGGAACTATATAAAACTTTTATACTCTCAGCTTCAAGTCTCGTTTTCCATAATGCGAAAGTGAATTGGCTACTATAATCAGAAAAAAAATACGCTTATCCAAATTTTGGAATGAATACATCAACGAATTTTTTTAAACACATACGAATCGTAGCCTTTCTCATTGGAAATAAATTGACGTATTTTATAAAAGAATCTAACATAACAAATATATTGCATTCCTCCTCTGGCTATCGGATAAAAATCGACAGTGACTAGATTGTTTGGTCCGCTTGATTCGATAAAGTTATGTTCTTCTTTCATTGAGACCGTTTAATATTTTACTCGTTGACGTATACTTCACAACATAAGATAAATTTTTTTACCTGCGTGGACATACAGTGGCGCTTAAAAAAATAGAGCCATCTTTAGCGGAGACAAAACAAATCATATTGTTATTAGTTAATCTTAATTACACACGAGGCGCAGCAATTTGTTGCCATCAGGCGAGTGTAAAGAAAACGTTGATACTAGTTTGTTGTCGTGGAATAATGTTGTTTAGTGCAAAACGGTTGAACATAACTTAATGGTATATTTTAACATATTTAATGATATATTTTGTTGTACCATTAGACGGATGGTTTTGTGAATTTAAATCTTATCTCTAATTAAATTTTCCGATTTTAAGATTGCTGTAAGGAAAACTGCTGTACAATCTGATTCTAGATGAATTATAAAATTCTGATGTACGTGTACATTGCGAGGTATCTTATCGGAACAAAGTATATGCAAGGTTTCATCTTTGGGTGCTATTCCTATCTAATCCTGATTTGTATGGAGTTGGATCCAAAGCGTGTTTTGAATTTGCATATACTTTGTTGCACATTTTTCTGTGTCACGCCTCGTAAGTATTTCCGTTAGACAGTTATCTTTTATTCCTACTATATAATCTGGATATGCTCGCTTTAATAATTGATATTCTCCGAATTTCTTTGCTAGTCCTAGCTCTACCTCATTGATTGACATAAAGATGGTTCTAAATGAATCTAGGAGAATAAGTCTCTGAGTTGTATCTATTACTGATTGTCTTAACCAACCGTGTCTGGGAAGAGATATTACTTTAGTTACTTCTAAGATTTTATCTTCTATTAATGGAATTATTAGTTGAATAAGCAGTTTTTCTCGGTTAACACTATTGATATTTCACTTATATCTATAAGAGTAGTATAATATATTTCTTCCAACGGTACTGGGAAATTATCTATATGCTTATGTTGTCTCAGAGTATTAAAAAGTTCTTTAGGTAATAAGACGTAAGGCTTAACGGTTCCGTGTCTTCCGTCAATTATTAATTCTTCTGCTTTTCAAATTTCGCTAATCAGCCTTCTTAATATCTTGTCTAAATCTAGTAACGATTCGTCAATCCAAATATTCGCCTCATTAATTTGAGATAGATTTTTAAGACTATTGAATTGGCTATTTATTTGATTCATTGAATTCGAAGTTATATTGATTACATTTTCGCTACTAGTTAGAGACTTAAGAATTATGCTGGTTTGGTTTCGTACATATTGTATAATATTTTTCTGATCGGCATGTAGCTTATTTAACTCGTTATTGAGGTATATTAAACTGTCTGAGCCAAATTATCAGAACAAAATGAATCTTATATGAAAATTATTTGCTAATTATTTGCTATTTTTTGCTTCAAGAAATAATTTTTTTGCTCCAATTTTTTAAAAATTACAGAAGGCTAGATAGCTTAAGATTAAACTATCTAAGCCATTGTAAAAAATAGCATTTATATAAATAAAAGTAAAAGATTAATAATACTAAAATTTTTTGCTATTTTTTGTTTCAGGAAATAATTTTTTTGCTCCAATTTTTTAAAAATTAGAGGGCTAGATAGCTTAAGATTAAGCTATCTTAGCCATTGTAAAAAATAGCATTTACATAAATAAAAGCAAAAGATTAATAATAGTAAAATTTTTTGCTATTTTTTTGCTATTTTTTACTTTAGAAAATAATTTTTTTGCTCCAACTTTTAAAAATAATCAAGAATAAAATAGGACGTTCAAGAATAAAGTGCCTTAAAGTAATTAATTGCTCGCATAATTATGGCATAAAAATGTTTCTCGAATTATTCGCTCTCAAGACATTAGGTTTTCGATTTTTTTGCTCGCGAAATAAGTGTAGAAAACCGGCTAAAAACGATCCGCGCGGTCCAAGTTACAAGAGTAAAGTGCCTCAAAGTAATTAGTTGCTCGCATAATAATGGCGTCAGAATGTTTCCCGAATTATTTGCTTTCGAGATATCCGGGTTTCGATTTTTTGCTCGCGAAATAAGTATAAAAATGTATATATTTTATTTATTATATAAGTCTATTTGTGAATAATATAACTAAGTAAACCTGCAAGTACAGATTTATAAAAAACTTTTTTCCAAATATAAGAACAATCTGGAAATTTATATTGATGCAACTGGAGCACGATTTAAAGAAATTATGATGTGCGATGGCAAAAAACGGCCTATATTTTATTTTATTTAATTGTTATAAATGTCGAAAAAGGACAATTTTCTATTGCACAAATGATAACAGAACAACATTCGGTTGCAAGCATACAGCATTGGCTCAATGAATGGTTATCACTAAAAATACCTAAACAGATATGCGTAGACTATTCTTTCGCATTTCTTCATGCGGCAGCGAGAACATTTGATGGATGTTTTAATATTTACGATTATGCAAACAAATGTAAAAATAATATTCCTCATTGTTGTATACGTATTGACAGAGCGCACTTTATAAAAAAGTATACACGCTTATTGAAAAGTTGTACAAAAATATTAAAAACACTTTATGCTTTATGTATTGGTGCTCTCTGCAATTGCAAAGAGGAAACGGAGGCGAGAGAAATGATTGAAGCAATATTAACATTGTCGCAATACGAAACAGAAACTAACAAACTTAAAGAACGAGAACGATATTTAAAATCTATCATAACAGGTAAGCATAACAATCTCACAATAATTCTCGAATATTAATGTATAATGTAATGTAATGTGTACCCATACAGCACAGATTATTGCAATTATATTGCAGCAACGTTGCAATGTTGCAGGTTGCAATGCAACATTATAAAGACATTGCAGAGATATAGGTGCACAAAATTCCAGCACACTTGTAGCAACATGACATTAATATTTCGGAAATATTGCATGTAATCCAAATTCTATAATTTATATATTGTAATATATATACATATACCCAGCAAACACCAAGTTACAGCTATATAATTGTTAGTTGTAATTTCCCATTTAAAAATATAATACGTGCATTATAACAATTATATTGTTGAGTGGAAAATTACAACTAACAATTATATAACTGTAACTTGGTATTTGCTGGGTATAATACTGTAATAAAATAATTTTTTGCAATATTGTACAATAAAAGATGTTAACGATAATCAATAATTTTATTCAGGGACCCGGACCGAAACAAAATAAGGGTTCGGTTTCAGTTACGGTTTAATAAAATATTTAATAACTGTTCCGGTTCCAGTTTCGGTTTCTTGATAAATAAAGGAAACCGAAACCGTTTAAATTACTGTTTTTTTCGGTTACGGTTCCGGTTTTTTAAATTATTATTTTTTTTAAACTAAATTAATTTCTGTTTAAGTTAATTTCTAATTAAATTAATTTTTTAATTATATTATTTTAAAAAATTATAAATCTTATGATATACATATAAATAAACAACACTTTATATCAAAATGAAAATATATTTATTATTTATACATCTATTTAAATTTAAATTTAAATACATTAACACAGGCTTTTCTCTTTAAAAAAAATATACGCGAACATCGTTAACGCGTCGCAAGGCAAAAGACGACGTCCCTAAATATCAGCTGGGCGGAGATGAGTTAATATATAAGACGGTAGGAGAAAAGAACGACTACGGGATACACACACGCGCACACATACAAGCGTACACGTACAAATAAGAATCTGATACAAGCTACTCGATGCGGAGATTGGCCGATCGACTCCGTCAAGTTAATTCTTTGTAATTCTGGAACGTTTCATGAGCGGTCCGTTTTCATAGTCGGAATTCTGTTCGTTTTTATCGCCATCGCTAGAATGGTTTGTTCTAATGTTATAAAAAGAGACAGACAATAATTAATTTCAAGATTCAATTTATGTGCCTTTTTAAAAAAATATAAAATATATAGAACAGATTAAATAAAAACCAATAACAAACCTTTTTTCTTTACGAAAGAATATCCTATTACTTCTAACAAGTAATTGATTTTCCAAAATACGTTCGTTAACATTTGTTCTTAAAGGAGATAAAATAAATTTTAATCCAGAGAAGAGTCGCTCCACACTAACTTGCGTTGCAGGAACAGACAAAACAACCATTGCTAGTTTATATAATTCAGGTTGACTTTTTCGTTTTTCTTCCCAAAATTGTAAAATATTAGTTTTTCTATTAAGTCTCTTTTGCTCAACATCATATGATTCAAGTTCTGTTACAACACGTAAAAGATGCAAATCTGATTCTTTGGATGATGATAAACTTGAATTTGCTAAATACTGTCGTTCTTTTACTTTTAAGAGGTTTTCAAATTCATCACATGTAGAGCCTGCCATGCTTGAATTTGAAGAAGAATGTTCATTTTCACAATTTTCATTTAAATATTCATTATTATTTAATGATATAATTTTAGTCCAAATGTGTTTTAAATGGTTTCTGGCTTTTTCTATTTGCGTTTTATCTAACAAGATTTTATATCGAGGGTCTAGAAAGACAGCAGATAATAATGCATCATTATTTAATAATTTTTGTTCTCTAGATATCATTTGTTCCAAAATAAGTGTAGCGAAAGGAGTATGTATTGTTTCCGTCATCATTTTTGTTTCATACCAAACACCAAAAAAATCACTCAAGGTTAATTGTTCTGCTTGAAGCTTTTTTGTGCAAATCTTTGATGGTTGCAATGCTGCACATATTTCTTCGATTTTTGTCCATTCATTATCTTTTAATGTCATAAAATTCTGAAATTTTGTTACAGCCAGCTTTTCACAATAATCCTTTAATAATAATAAATGTTCAAGCATATCCAATGTAGAACACCATCGAGTTGGACAATCAATAACAGGTTTTTTTAAATTTTGTTTTTTTATTAAGTAAATAAATGTTTGTGTTCTAAGTTTTTTTACTAAATTTCTAGCTTTTGATATTAGATGTAATGTAGCTTTTGTTCTTTTTAAAGCGTCATCAACTGCCAATTGTAAAGTATGGGCTGCGCATCTAATTCCTATAATATTCAATATCAAATATTAATTGTTAATTGTAAATATTTTTTTTAATTAGAAATTAAAACTCATACTTCTATTCTTTATTTTATTTCATATATACTATAAAAAAGTTATATATTTTATATTATCTTTTAGTGATGATTAATAAAATGGAATAATTGCTAGTTATGGTCAATGTTTAATTTACTCCTAATTTACTTAAAAGTTTTTTTTACCTGTTATAATGTTATTTTGGAAATTATAGTTTAAATCTTCAGTTTCAATTTCTTGAAGAATATTTGAAACGTCATCTGTTTCATGTTCATTATTTCCTTCATTTTTTTCTGATTCTAAATATGTATTATCATCACTATAATTATTTTCATTATCCTTGTTTTGATCTTCTTCTATTTCAATATCAGAGTCTTCATATTCTGAAGCTAATAGTTTTACTGCTTTCAGCATATTAGCACCATTATCAGTCGTTATGGTATATATTTGATCTAATGATATATTAAAAGAAGAACAAACATTTCTAATAATCATTCTTAAATATTTGCCTGCAGATTATTAATATTATATTAATTATAAAACGTGTTAGAATTTAAAATATATAAAATAAATATAAAAAAGTATTACCTGTATGTTTTTCTTTTAATTCTTTTAATGCTAATGTTCTTAATACAATTTTTGTATCTTTAATATATTGTATATTGATACCTAAAAAGGATCTGTCTAATCGAGTGACAGCGTCCACTTTTATTGAAATCAGAATGTTTTTTATATCCTCAGATATTTCCTTTTTTATTTTATCAGCTTCTTCATTAACTTTTCTTTGTATTGATTCTGACGAAATAGAAATTTTCTGTTTATATTTATCTTCTATTGCCGATTTGATTGGATTTATAATATTTTGAAAACCAGAGTCATTTAAAATACTAAATGGTCTTCCATTAACTGTTACTAATTCAATGCAATTGTTTTCGAGATCTTTTTTTGTCATTTTTACTTTTATAGAATTTACTTCATCTATTTGTGGCTGTATTTCTTTTCGATGCTTTCCCGTTTCTTTTTTATTCAAAGAAATATCAGTGAAATATTCTTCTTTAAAATCATGGTAACGAATTAAATGTTTTTTTAAGTTTGTCCCATAATTACCCTTAAAGAATATGTATATTTAGAATTTTATAGTTATAAAAAATGAGATTAGAAAGAAATTTTAAAATATTAAAAATTTTAATATAAACAAGAATAAAAATATAAAAGTAATATCAATCATTTACCTTCAATGAAGATTTACAGATGACACACTGTGAACTATCTTCTACATCGTTATATGTGAAATGTTTGTGTGCTTTATTAGTATGTTTTCTACCCATAATAAAGCACGAAAACTGTCTGAATCCAATAAATATAATTCCTTAAAAAATTTCAACAGCAAGAAACAAATTTATGAATTAATAATAAAGTCGATAATATAATACTAATAATGTTAATATAAAATTATAAAAATCAATGATAAATATGTAGAAGACAGAGGTTATGTATCAATGTCATTCAATGTAAAATATTTCTCTTATATTGTTAATATAATGTCTTATATTGTTAATATAAATCGAATAATCAAATTCGATTAACAGATGTGTAAAAGAGTACTTACTTATATATAAAAGAGAATAAATTTGAAGAGAAATCAATTGATGCCGAAACGTCAGTGCGTTTATACAACGTGTTGTACATAGTACATATGATGCAATACTACGTTTCGCATGATAAGTAACGACGCTGTAGCAGTGCAACAAAGCTCCCGCGCCAATTATTTACCAACCGGGATACATAAAATGTAGTGCATAACATTATGACATTTCCGTCATTTGCGCAAAAACCGAAATGAAATACCGAAAAGAACCGTAAACCAAAAATAATTTAACGGTCCGGTTATGGTTCCGGTGCTATAAATTTAATAGAATTTCAATACGGTTTACGGTTTCGGTCCTACTAAAACAAACGGTATGGAACGGTTATTGGTTTCGGTTACGGTACGGTCCGGGTCCCTGATTTTATTAAATCATTGGCTTAAATTTCTGCGCCGAACGCTCTGAACAATACATATATGTGTGCGTGTACAGCAGGCGCCGGCTTCGCTACGTAGACGTAGACCGTTGCAACTCGTGGTTATCACGTGTACGAGTATGTACATACAGAGAAGTACATATATATAGCAGATACCTTCCTTCATATACAATAAATATTTATTGGACATCTCATGTATGTGTATTCCATATACGTCTGTGAATATGACTTATTCTATGTATATACAGTGATGTATAAACAATGTACATTGGATATCCTATTTGTATATAAATTTAATGTTCTGTTTATACATTGTATATCCATACAATATATATGCGTATAGATAGGTACATTCCATGTACATTCGTGGAAAGTATATGACAGATAATTTACATATACACTAAATATTTTTTTCATATCCAATGTATATAAATTGCATCTATATACATCTATAGATGATATTCTATGTATATAAATGATATTCTATGTATATACAGTGATTTACAAATGAGGCACATTGTATGGATATATATACGTGCATTATATATGTACATATTAAAGACATCCAATGTACATCGTTTGTAGATCACTATACATACATAGAATATGCCATACACGAATATACACTGTACATAAATATTTAATTACTAAAATATCTTGTATTATATTTACAGATGTAGGTACTTGCAATAAAAACAATATACGTATTTACGAATATATATATATATATATATATATATTTATATATTTTTAATATATATTACATCTATATAACATATTATATTAAAGTATATTATAATATATTAAAATTAAACTTTGAAATATTTTAAACAAGAAATTATAAACATTATTTCTTTGATCACAGTATTCCATAAATAAGAAACTTAAAAAATATAAGTACGTTAAATTACAATTTATTAAGAAGCTTGTTTTAAAAAGTACTTTATCTATTTGAAAAAATAAACAGATCAAAATGTTTGTATAATATTAATACTATTAATAATTAATACATAAAATATCCTGTAAAAAAATTGAAACAATTTTGTGTTTAAGACAAAATTGTTTCAATTTTTTCTACTGCGTACGTTTCATCTACTGATCCCTCATTACAGCTATATTGAATTATGATGTCAGAAGCAAGAAATAACATGAGGTTTTTTTTTTATATAATATATATCGAATAAATAAGTTTTTGAATGTAATTACTGTGTTTGATAATATGAATTAGTAAAATCCGTCAAACTCCCTATTTGTTAATAAATATGCGTATAACTCATTTGCATATGTCCTACATTTTCAGTAAACGTGGACATGATTGAGCAAGATTATTTACAGCTACTTGCAGATTTACGAAGTAAAAAAAGTATTCGACGGATTTCATTAATTCATATTATTGCTCGAATAATCTTATTTATTTCGATATAATTTGCAAGAACAGCTTCATATAATTTCTTGCTTCTGACGTCATATTTTATAATATGGTTTAATTAAGCCTTAACTAATATTTTATAAATAAATCAAATGGCTACAAAAATTTTATGTGTATTAGAATATTAGTATTAGATTTAGCATTTTTTATAAACTTTAATTTGAAGTACCTATATATAAAACAAAAAATTTTGCGTTACCAATTAAAAAAACAAAAATTATATGTATGGATATATATGGAAACAGTAATTGTATAAAAATCAAAATTAATATTTATAATATAGAAAAAGTAACGCGTTTTCAGAAACAAAAAATACGATAATTTTTAGCATATTCTATTTATAATCTATAACCCAAATAGCAACATATATTATTTTGATGTCAAATGATCTTATTTTAACGTCAAATGAGGTCATTTTGACATCAAATTACGCGATTCCCTACCTGGGAATACTACTAATATTTTATTATATATAAAATTTATGTAATATTATATATATTATATATCAATATAATATTTAAGCAATCTGTTCCAAAACTTGCCTAATCTATTTTGACATTAAATTTTATGAGTGGAAAAGAATTAGTAACATCTCTTTATTAATAAACTTTGGTAAATTTTCTGTAAAATTGCATTTAAACGAAAATATAATCATAGACATGATTATATAAGATTTTTTATGAAGCGCAATCTGAACAAAATGCATGTTTAATTAATTTTTATATAGGAAAATGTATGAGACAAGTTTTTGAACGGAATACTTTCATTATAAGAACCCATAAAAGCTTACACTATATAAAAATGCTTAAAATTAAAAGCTACAAATTAAACTGAAAAATATAGTTTTGTTTTCTTTATAATATTCTTTATATTCATAAAAAATCATTAACACTATTTAAATTGTCTTTATTGGAAATGGTGAACAAACGTCATTTTGATTTAAAACATTCTTAAGAGTTGCAAATATAATTGAATTTAATTACAAATTAAAATGTAATTTTTAATTACATGAAACTAATTTAACAATTACAGTTTAAAAATTTTTTTAATAATTTCAAATTCTGCTTATAAGTGTAATAGTGGGAAAGAAACGTATTGACCTCTAAATGGTAGAACTATTAATTTCCTATTAATGTCATCAATGGACCACATTTCAAGTAAATTATTATTTTTTTTTATATACTGTATGTCAAACAAAGATGAATTACATGGCTTAGAGTAAAAATCATTTTGTAAACTGTAGCTATAACCTAACAGAACTGTTGAATTTTTATGGCTAACAAAATTTTTTATTTTAATTATTGTTTTATTTTTCAATTCTACAAATCGGTCAGCAGTTCTATTAATATTTAAACAATATTCGGCAGTTTTAAGTTTTTTGTACTGAGGAGGATTACAAGTATTTATTAAAGGGCCATCAGAATGTTCCATTAACAATTCTGTAGACAAATTATCATCAGTATTCTTAGTAGGTCTTAAAATATTATTCTCTTCAACGATTCGACGAACAACTTGTTGTAAGGGTTGGGAAGATTTATGAACCATTTTTTTTAATTTTTGCATAAAATTTTCAAATGGAAATGCACTAAAATTGTCTAGCGAACCAAATAATTTTACACAATCAGTTAAGTGCAAAAAATTATGTATATTATGAGAAATGAAATCTGGACCATAAATTTGAATAGAATTAGTAATAAAATGCTTCATGAGCTCGTGAGCGTAAGAAATAAAATGTTCATACTTTGAATAATAATTACTAATTAAGATAGTGCTTGCTAAGCTAAGGGTAATAAAATTATTGTAAACTTTAGGAGACAGTACTTGTTTTAAGACTATTGGACCTGTATATAGTAAAAAGAGTCTAAATTCAGTAGCCTTATAGTATCGCTTGCATTCTACTATAGATCGAGTCTTTCGTAAAAATTTACAAGGAATATATTTTCTTAGTTTAAGAAGCAAATTAGTAATATCATTAACATCCTTTGCACGTAATTTGTGAGGAGGTCTACCGAATATCCACCCATAGCGTCTATTGCATAGCAATCTCTTAGTTCCGCCTAACAAAAGATTGTGCATATAGTCCAAGGGCACATTATCAATAAAATTAAAGTTTGGAATGTTAATGAAAAGAGTTTCACCAACGTGATGTTCTGGATAAAGTTTATTTCTAAAAGAATTAT